ATTATGAGGAACCTAAATGAGTTCAGTATGCCTTTCCCTATCCACCGAGGTACTCTCCTTCCATATCACCTTCCCAGCCTCAATACTAGCACCGTGTTCATACATCGAAATCATTGTCTTCCTCTCAAACTCTTTTGACCACTTAACCGGCGCTCAAACATACAGCTCATACAGCAGACCAGCCTCCACCTAAACAATCTCAGCTCTTCTCAACCACTGTCGCTCCATCTCATCATAGACAACATACACCATCATTGCATGTGACCACCAGCTACAAGGACCCACCCCCTCCCCCACCTGAAGCAGATAAGGGCACAACTATACACCCTTTCACAATGAAGTCTCTGATACCGAAGCCACAACACAAATCACCATCATCTGATTCCACTGTTTCTGACCATAATCTGTCTTCCGAGGTGTCACACTTCCTAATTTTCCTACTCCAGGCTCTGGTATAGTAGAGAATTGCTCTCCTTCTCCATTGGAGGATTTTATATTGTATTCTCAACTCGTACTGAGGATGGCTAAATCCGTCGAGCTAGAGGTTGAGGAACCCCCACCTCCAAAACATGACTTGGTATTCGACAATATCAATCAAGATAAAACCCTGCCACTCAGCCTAGCGTTTATACCGGCTATGCTTGACCTCGTCAAAGAGTCATGGGACAAACCACCATCCTCTCTCCAAATCTCGAGGAGCGTTGAGAATCATTACAAAACACATGGCTCACACAAATCCTTTTTAGCAAAGCATCCGACTCCAAATTCCATTATCATAGAATCGAACCAGTCCCGAGCCAGAAATAAATCATTTGTAGCTCTGAGGAACAGAGAGGGCAGAAAATTAAATATATTAGGCAGATGCCTATATTCTTTAACATCTTTTCTAATGAGAGTTGTAAGTGATCAGCTCTGCTAAGAGATGCTTGACTGTTCGGACAGAGAGTAATTAGAAGCCTGTGCTCCCTCATTAGGCTGAGTCGAGTCCTGGTAACTTCAGCCAAGGGCCGCCCCACAACTTCTGCTTATAAGTCTGCCCTAAAAAAGATACTTCAGCAACCTTAGAAAATTCCAAAAAAGAAATACACATGAGCTTTGTAGTCAGTAGACTCACTTTGCTCAATTCAGGTAGGACTCAGTAGCAAAATGTGGCCCTAAAATTCCCCCTCAGGGTAATATTAAGACAGTTACACTGTTCGAAAGACCAATTGATTTTTATAATTATTATTTTATTAAGAAAAATATAGAAATTCACAAAATAAAGTCAGTTTAATGCATAAGTAAGCATGTTTATCATTTTCAAGGATTGATAGAAAATATAAATGAAGCAATAATTCTCTTTAAATACAAAAACACTAAAAATCCTAGAAAATCTATAAAAAGCTCTGTTAGGGTGGGCAAAAGGCAAAAAGCCCCCCTTTCTACCTAGTCCCCTACATCTCTATCAGTCTGTTACCTGCACTGCACAGCAGGCAACAAGACCTAGCAAAACTGCAGTCCAAAAAGGTCCAAAAATGAGAAATCGGGAAAAGTCCATTGTCCATAGTAAGAGTTCCTTTTTCAAGCTTAGCTGGAGCCCCCCTTCTTCTCTGTCTCTCACGCTGTCATCCAATCACGGCATGAAGTCAGGTAAACAGTCCTTCCTTATCGTCTCTCTTCTCTTCTCATGAGAAACAGGTGTTGTTTTCCTCAGCACGTCTGCAATTCCGCCATAACAAATGACCAGTCTTCTATCTAGGAATGTCCTCCTCAGGCCTACAAGAAAACATTCCCACATCCCTCTAGAAATACACTGTCAGCATGCAGAAATCATTTATACAGAGAACAATATGGAATCCATTTTACATTGTTCACTACTACATATCCCATCTTCAGTACAAGATTTAAACCACATAAATCAATCCATGACAAGAGTGACTAACTATCAAGCTGCGATGAGTGCACACCATCATCAACTCTGGAACAGAGTTCTCCCAATCTTGCAAGCAGCACCTGAGGAGTCTAAATCAGTGGTTCTTAACCTTTGTTACTCGGATGCTTTTGAACTGCAACTCCCAGAAACCCCAGTCAGGACAGCTGGTGGTGAAGGCTTCTGGGAGTTGCAGTCCAAAACTCCTGAGTAACCCAAGGTTAAGAACCAGTGGTCTAAATCAGAGGCACTAAATATTCACCTTGAAGCTTCCACATTAGCAACGCAACAGCACATCACCTCAAGACATACAGCCAATGCCGCCTCCAAGGCTGTGACCACCTCAATTGCCCTTCGACACTATGCTTGCCTTCGATCAGCGGGCATTTCTGATGTTACCAAGTCCCGTATCAAAGACCTTCCGTTTGACGGTACTGTATCGGCTTATTCAACGAAAAGATGGGCAAAGTTATGGATAATCTCCATAAGATTAGAAAAACGGCTAGATCATACACCACACAGCAGCCATACCATTAGCAACATGCACTATGGTGTTGACAATCTTTTGTACACCAGCCTTTCCAACAGCAATACAAACCATACGGAACCGAGACATCAGAGAGACAGTTCTCTGCCCATCTATCTCTGCTGCTTCTAATTTTCAACCCCAACCACAATCTCAATGACGTCAGCCCTTTCATCAACCACAAGAAAAGGCAGAACAATACCCCTGACTCCTTCCCACCCAAGATCAATATGTCCGCTTCATTTCAGACTCATCTCCATCCTTTTCTCAGATCATGGACTCGTATTACAAAAGATCACTGGGTGCTTTCAATAATTTGCTGTGGTTATCTCATCGAATTTGAACATCCTCTGCCCATTGGTTACATCAGATACACTCCATACTCATTCACCCTTCAGGACGAAGTCTTCTTCTTCAAAAACATGCTATCACTACAGTTCCACCTTCCAATCTCCACAATGGCTTCTACTCCTGTTATTTTACAGTACCGAAAAAAGACGGAGGACTCTATCCCATTCTCGATCTCAGAAACCTCAACAAATACATCCTACCCAGACATTTCGGAATGGTTACGCTTGATGCCGTCATCCCTCTTCTCTCTCGAGATTGGTTCCTAGTGATAGAACTTCAAGATGCATATGTTCAGCGAACAGTAATAAGACTATGTCAGTTCTGCTCAAGCGCCATCCTTCTCGCACCATGCTGGTCCTGACAGCCATGGTTCATCCACCTCATGAGGATGTTGACAGCCTTGTTCCACCTCCCATCCATCCCACACCTACTAACTCAGGACAACAGCAAGATTCACTATCCAGACGTCAAGTCCCTCAATGTCACTGCATGCAGGATTCTCCCTCCATAATGGCTGTCCTGGAGAAAGCTAGAAAGCTCTCCACACAGCTTTTATACAATCACAAATGGAAAGCCTTTTCATCATTTGCTGCTTCTAACAACCTTCCAGCAACACCAGTCTCTTTACAGACCGTACGTACCTTTCTTTTCCATCTCTTCCACTGGGGGGTTATCTCATTCTATTTTAAAAGTGTACATTGCCTCCACAACACCCTCCTCTTCCACATTGGTTACTCCAAATAGTCCTCAGTACCCTAACTTGGGCCCCCTTTGAACCGATGGCTACTACAAACTTCAGACTACTCTCTCTGAAGACTTTGTTTTTAGTTGCCATAACATCAGCCAGATGGGCTAGTGAACTTGCAGCCCTCAGATCAGACCATCGTAAATCCAGTTCCATACAAACAAGGTCACTCTTTAGCGAGATGTTTCCTTTCTTCCCAAGGTTGTGTCTGAGTTTCATCTAAACCAGCCCCTGATTCTTCCCTCCTTATTTCCATCTCCTACAACTGACCTCGAGCACATGCTCCACATGCTTGATGTCCAACACTCTTTGGCATTCTACATCGACAGGACCAAACCCTTTCGAAGGTTTCCTCGACTCTTCGTTTGTTTTCATGACCCTCATAAGGACTCACCAGCCTCATCACACACTCTGTCCATATGGATAGTCCAGGCCTTTTCCTTGGCTTATGAGCTGGTAGGCAAAACACCTGCTGAGACTCTCAGGGCTCATTCCACTAGGACTGCCTCCACCTCTACCACTTTTCAACATGACATAGATGTCTCTCACATCTGTCGAGCAGCTACATGGTCAATTCCCTCAACATTTGTCTCCCATTATCACCTAGACATCAGAGCTAAGAATGATGCTGGCTTTGGCAGAGCTGTTCTCCCTTCCTGACATGACGTCCCACCAACCAGAAAGTGAGGTTGCTATTCACCCATTTGTGTGCATTCACAGAGACCACAAAGAAGAAAGAGAGGTTACTTACCTATAACCATGGTAGTTCGAGTGGTCCTCTGTGAATCCACACATCCCTCCCTTCCTCCCCTCTGTCCGTCACATTGTCATCTACATTCTTTTTCTGACAGGAGTGGACCTTTTAGGGACTTCAGGCAGGCGGAGCATGTTCTCCACGAGGGAAAGTCCCACTAATCACATGTCTTTAAGCTCTAGAAACTTCTGAGAGGTCCTGTGAAGGCGCAGAACAACCCATTTGTGTGGATTCACAGAGGACCACTTGAAGAACCATGGTTACAGGTAAGTAACCTCTTTTTTTATTATTGTGAGTGCCTTGATTCCCCTGTGGGGGAAGAAGCGGCATATAAATAATATACATTTATACATGGATATTAAACTGGAATCATAATGCTAGATGAGAGTTTGAGCTTTGTTTCCAGCTGATTTTCCTCTTACAGAGTCATTTAGTTCTTAGTGCTATGTTTGATTTGGTACTGAATTATATGTTGTTTTTGAATAGTATGTGTATCTTCTTGATTACTTTTGGTAACAACCTAATGATTTTCATGTATTTAACAAGGTGTATTAGAGCTTTGTTAAGGAGGCATGTTCTTTAGTGTTATTTCTTTGCTCTCCTAATTTCCTCATTGCTATCCAAAATTAAGTTTGCCCAGTTTTAAAATTGTTACATTAATTTCTTTCTGCTTCTTGGTTTAGTGAGAATAATGGAGTCTTTCTTTATCCAACAGGGACGGGGTGTATCACCAGTGCAGACTTCAGTGCTTGAGAGGAGTACTTCTGGGCTCCATCCAAAATCTGTTTTGCAGGTATGGGCAAAATGTCTGTTTAATAGAATACCCCCGGGGTCCAGATGGCAATCCTTACAGTCTTTGTCCTGGTAAAAATGTAATTGTCCTCATCATAGTGGGGATTCTGTGCATGCTGGCTGAAATCCAGTAGTAAGTTGCAACTAGAGTAGGGCCATTAAATCAGTGAGACTTGTGAAGGAGTTGACTTACCAAATCCCCACTGTTCAATGGGACTGCTTTAGTTGTAACTTACTATTAGATGTCACCCATTATAAGAGATGGAACAGCAGTTGATTCATTAATGCCTTTCCTTTCACTAGCTTAGTTGAATTCAAAGATTGGAATCCAAACATGCATTTTAATACTTCTTTTTTTAAATAGCATTTAATTTTATAATATTAGGACAAGGATTTAAAGATTATTTGTTGTACAGAGTTTCAAATCTTAATTCTGTTCTTGTTTGCTTATACAGTGGTGCCCTGCATAGCGAGGAGAATCCGTGCAGCACAAATCGTCGCTATGCGGGGGGGAAAAGCCCATAGGAATGCATTAAACCCCGTTTAATGCATTCCTATGGGCAAAAAACTCACCTTAAAGCGAAAATCCTCCATACGGCGGCCATTTTTGCTGCCCGGTAAGCAAGGAATCGGCGCAAAAACACAGTGGGTGGCCATTTTATTTACCCGGCGGCCATTTTTGAACCGCCGATCAGCTGTTCTAAAAACATCGCTATGTGAAAATCGGTAAGCGAAACAGCTTACCGATCATCGCAAAGCGATTTTTTACCATTTAAATCATTGCAATGCGATCGCTTTTACGATCGCAAAAACCAAATCGCTATGCGGATTCGTCGTTAACCACTGTACTTAATTTTGTTTTCTTTTCCTTCTGCACAGTATGTGCCAAATTATAATGTAACTGAAAAAAACTTGTTAGTGCAGGAGTAGTTTGCAAGTTGCCTTAATGCTTAACATGGTTGATTAAGATGAATTTGTTGTGTTCCTCATATCTTAAATTCATACCCATTCTGGAAGTTCCTTGGTGAAAATGACTAATGTTTAGGGCAACATACCCTCTAATTTTCAGCCCTGCTGGGTGGGTCTCCATCTCTCTCTCTCACACACACACACAACTGGACCCCTGCGTGTGTGTGTGTCTACACGCACACACACACACACACCATGCTGGGTTCCATCACATCTGGAACCTAGCGTGATTGCTGCACGGAGGAGGAAAACAGCTCTGTAGAAGGAAGCAGAGTTTGTGTGCGCGCAGCTTAGCAGGAACGTTGGTCCCAATTCTGAGTTACTCTGCTTATCTTCAGTATTGCTGTCATATACTTGAGACTATGAGAGATGCTTCCTTGCAATTTAGATATTGAAACTGCCCCTTCCAAGGCTACTAAGAGAATCAGAGTCTTCACTCAGGTAAAGAACCTGTAAATTCTCTATCTCGTGTAGAAACTAAAGCTCCATTTTGTCTTCCCAACTGTACGACTGCAGGAACCATGGCCCTAGCATCTGGCCCAGTTTTAGACTTTCAGCTTGAAGCCCAGATTTTATATCAACTTCACCTAGTGATGAGTTCTGTATAACTCAAAACAATTCTTTGTAACTTTTATAGTGAAAGTATTGCCTAATACAGAACTTTTATAAATGTATCACACAGCTGTTTTTTGTATCTGCTGTTGGATCTTTTTGCTTGAGATTTTTTGTGCTTTTTTATTTCGAAATATAGCATTCAGTTCCAGATCGTTTAGGGGGGCCAGGAAGACAAGGTCCCTTTCCTCCTAGGCCAGTACCAGATGAGGATGAGATTTGGAAGCAGAGACGAAGGCAACAAGCAGAAATATCTGCAGCAGTAGAACGAGCTCGTAAACGGCGAGAAGAAGAGGAGCGAAGAATGGAAGAGCAAAGAAAAGCAGCATGTGCTGAGAAGTTAAAACGGTTAAATGAGAAATTTGGATGTGTAACAAAACCATCCCGGGAAGACCTATTGAAGGAAAAAGTCAAGGAAAAGGAAATTGAAAAGGGGAAGGAAAATGAAAATGAGAAAGATAAGGTGATAGTGACTGAAAGAGAGGAGAAAGAAAGCCAAGACAAGGAAGAGGAGCTGGAGAAGGAGACGGGAAGAGAAAAGGAGGAGAAGGAAAAGGCAGATGAGAAACCTGAAGCTGAAATGTCTGAGCCTCAGAAGTCAGTCACGCCACCTCCAAAAGTAGAGAAGCCACCAGAAAGTGAAAGCAGCAGTGAGGAGCCAAAAGGTCTGTATTAGTCATTCTGTTTGGTTGAATCAGGAGTGGACTTCTTCAGCCCCTGGAATGTTAGCAGATTGCAAATCTCAGAACCAGAGATGGGAACAAAGTGCCAAAATGGGGCTTCGTCTTGGTTCATGGGTCATCAAAGGCCGTGGGGCTATGGGATGGCTTGGGTCCCACTTAGGAAGAGCAAGGAAAGAAGGGATCAAAGTGATCCCCCAGCCCTGCTGCCTTTGCAAAGACAAAGGCAGCGGGGGTGGGGGATCACTTAGATCCCCCTTTGCTTCTCTTCCTATGCCCCAGCAGGGATAGGAAGAGGAGCCTATCCTGTCAGAAGCGATCCTGCATCCTTTGCAAAGGCAGGGGGGCGGGGTGATCACTTTGTTCCCTTTTTCCTTCCTCTTCCTATGAGATTCCATAACTGATCACCTGTGGTTTACCGACATCATATTAGTAAGAATGTTACACATCACTGTGGAAAGCACTTTTTTGCTGTGAGTATTCTGAAAGTTGGCATTCAACATTTTGTAAGGAGATGCATTTCAGAAAGCAACATTTGCTTGGTTGTGATTGCTTATTTAACAAACAAAAGAAAAGTCCAAACAGGAAACTTTAAAAATGGTTTTACTGCAAGAATTCTCCATGGTAATGAGGTCAGAAGCAATATGTGTTTAAAAGTTTATTATGCATTTAAAGTGATGTGTGGGTAATATACGTATGTTAACATCAAAACAAAGGCTGTAGTAGAGGTTATTGGATTTAAATACTCAGCAGGCTTATATTCTATAGGTGTAATAGGAGCTTTCATTTAAATGTTCACTTCAGTTATTCCAGTACCTGAAAAGGCAATCTTGTACTTAAATTGAATGGAAACTTGACTAATTTACAGTGAGGGCTGCTTCCAAAAGTCTTGAAGTACAGGTTTATTCTGTACTTGCATATACAGTGGTGCCTCGCATTGCGATGTTAATTCGTTCCAGCAAAATCGGTGCTAAACAAAAATGTTGCAATGTGAAAATAAAAAGCCCATAGAAATGCATTAAAATGTGATTAATGCATTCCTATGGGCTTCAGACTCACTGTTCAGCTAAGATCCTCCATAGCGCGGCCATTTTCGCTGCCTGTTAAGCGAGGAATCTGTCCCAGAAAACAGCAGGCGGCCATTTTGAAACCGCTGATCAGCTGTTAAAAAAGCATTGCTTTGTGATGATTGGTTCCCCAAGCAGGGAACCGATCATGGCAAAGCACAGCCAGCCAGCCCCGGACGACGCCCGGCCTCCTTGGTGGGGCTGTCCCAGGGCGCAGACACGCGGGCCAGAGGGTCTTTCTCTGGCGAGCGAGGGCTCGGAGGCAGCCGCCTGGGACGGGAAGGGGCGCGCCATCAACCCACCGCTCGCCAGCCAGCTAGCCAGCCCGGGAGACACCCGGCCTCCTTGGGCGGCGAGCGGCAGGCTCGGAGGCAAGCAGCCGCCTGGGGCAGCAAGGGGCGCGCCATTCACCCCCTGCTTGCTAGCCAGCCCGGGAGACATCCCCCCATCATGCAGCGCCTCCCGCTGCAACTGCTCTCTGGCTCAGCACTCCAGGGGTGCGCGCGGGGATCGGGGCCAGACCCTTTGCCCCTCCTTCCCTCTCTACTCCCGAGGCGCCGATCCGGAGCACCCCCGCTCCCCCTTCCCGCCGTCCCCTATTTATGCAGGAGCTCAGGGGGTAGCATGCGGCGCCGATTAGCTGTTTAAAAAGCATTGCTTTGCCATGATAACTGCTCTCTGGCTCAGCACTCCAGGGGTGCGCGCGGGGATCGGGGCCAGACCCTTTGCCCCTCCTTCCCTCTCTACTCCCGAGGCGCCGATCCGGAGCACCCCCGCTCCCCCTTCCCGCCGTCCCCTATTTATGCAGGAGCTCAGGGGGTAGCATGCGGCGCCGATTAGCTGTTTAAAAAGCATTGCTTTGCCATGATCGGTTCCCCAAGCGGGGAACCGATCATCGCAAAGCGAAATTCCCCCATAGGGAACATCGCAAAGCGATCGCAAAAGCGATTGCAGAATCTTCATCGCAAAGCAGTTTCATCGTTATACGAAGCAATTGCTATGTGATGCACCACTGTATAATGTTTTGGTTATAGACTTGACTTACTAGTCTGTGAAGAATGTGTTTGTTTAAGGTGGCATTTTTTATGTAGTCGTTCTAATTCAGTAGTATAATGTACTACAGCTGCTTTCTTTTGATGTAATTTGTGGTTTAACTCTTACGTCCTTCCTCAGCCCACCACCCACCATGCACAGAGCATCAGACAGTTTTCACCACACAAGAAAACAATCATAATGAAAGAGAAGGTTCTCATGAAAGTGAGCCTGATTCCAGTGCTCAGCCTCGTCCTGCAATTTTGTCCGGCTATTCAAAACAGTTTCAGAAAGCATTGCCACCCAGGTTTCAGAGGCAACAGGTAAAATGCTGTCATCTGAAGGCTAAAGCATATGGTTATCATTAAATAATACTGTAGGAAATCTTAGGGTGTATAAGCGTCTGACTGAGGATTTAATTGCAGCTTTGGGTTGCAGAGGTTGGTGGGCTTCCTAAAATTCACTGTAAGATATTTTACAAGCTTAGCTGTCCTAACCCCCTAAGCACAGATAGCACATACATACTTCTGCATTTCTTTTATTTCTTTCTATCCTGTTTCCCTGAAAATAAGACCTAACCTGAAAATAAGCCCTAGTATGATTTTTCAAGATGCTCATAATATAAGCCGTACTCCAAAAATAAGACCCGATTAAATAAAACCCCATCTTCCACCATTGTGCATCAACCAGAAGATGATGACATGACTGTATTTGAATAAATGTAGATTGTTGTACATGAAAAAAAATAAAACATCCCCTGAAAATAATCCCTAATGCGTTTTTGGAACAAAAATTAATAATATCTTATTTTCAGGGAGACATGGTAAATTGCTAAATATCATGATAATGAAAAGTTGCAAAGTGTTAGCACAGTATATCTGAAATATGCAAATGAGTATAAACCAGGCACCCCAACTGCCTTCTCAAGTATTGGGGAAAGAGTTTCTAACTCCACCCAAATTCTGGCAGATCTGGTATTCAGTCTTCCTGTTTTTGCCCTCCATGTCCTGGTGCAGCCATAACACACCTTGTTGTTCCCCTTCCCTTGACAGTAATGTAACAGTTGGTTAAGTGTTATTTTTGTACTGGTTTAGGGCAAATAGGACAATACCTCAGCTCACGCTATCCCCACCATCTATGCAGATCTATAACAGAGGTGGAAAATTGTTTTGCTTCTTGCTGAACTCATGAAGTGAGCAAGGGCATGAGAAGGGAGAAAGAAAGTGAGAGAATAAAAAAAGAAAAAGCTTTAAAACCAGACATGGAGAGAAACTAGACACAGAAGAAAACAAATTGCTAATTTGGACTAAGATGTATTATACAGCTCCTCAGTTGAGTTGTAGAGTGATTGAATGCATAAGGTGGGGTTAGAACAGTGTCCAACTGAATACCTATCTTCTAACTTGTATGTGTTAATGCTTACTCACCAGCCTTTGTGTGCACACACATGCACTTGTGTGCGTGAATGCCTTCTTCTGCACTGGCTGTCCCAATCAACCTGCTTTTATTGCTTTCCACCCGTTAACTACAGTGGCACCAGTCACTGCTAGCTTTAGTTAATCCTAAGAAGGATTCCCATAATATCTGGAGTTGGAAGGCTGAAAATGAAGAACATTGTCTAGGTCCTATTCCAGTGAATTAGAATGCTGTGTTCTGTCAAAATTTGTTATAGTGGTATCTTTGTTTTCTTGTAGGAACAGATGAAACAGCAACAGTGGCAGCAGCAACAAGGGGTACTGCCACAGTCTACACCATCACAACCTTCTAGTGGCCCTGTTCCACCGCCATCACACAGACCACTGTATCAACCCATACAGCCACACCCTCCACATTTGACCTCTATGAGCTTTGATCCACGGTGGCTTATGATGCAGTCTTATGTGGATCCACGGATTATGTCAGGAAGGCCTGCAATAGATATGCCACCTATGCACCCAGGTAGAAATTAAATCTCTATTGAATTAGCTGGGGGGGGGACATTAGCAGCCTGGCAGAGCATTTGTGAAAGTGGGTATTCCAAATATTTTATCTGTTTGTGTGCAGAACATAAATGTGCGTGAAGGATGGTCATTGTGCACAATTTCATTTCTTATGGCTGGTACAATAAATTTTGCTGCTCTTATTTTCTTACATTTTTTTTAATGTACTCATTCCACACTGATTTTATTCTTGACATCAAATTAAAAAATAGATGAATATCCATCAGTAGTGGCTAGAGATTAGTACAAAAATGGTATTCGTGGTGGTTCATAGTGAGCCACAACCTGTCATGAACCAATCAGAAAACCAAACTGGTTCGTGATTCAGTTTTTAGTTTGTGCCCTCTGGGCTACCTGTTGTGCCGCTGTTTCCCCGAGTGTCTCTGTGCATGTGCCCCCACCTATCAGCTGGGTGTGTGCATAAAGGCAGCAGGCCTGGCTTCTGGAAGGGAAGCCAGCTCACTGTCTTTGATGAGGGCAGTGGCGGCGGCAGGACCCGGTAGGGAGGCAACAGGGGCAGTGGGAAGGGAGCAGGCTGGCATCTGTTTTGCCAAAGCAAAAAGTTTGGTGCTTCAGTTTGCTTCAGCAAAACAGTCACCAAATTGAGTTGCAAACTGAACCACAAACAGGCCTGATTTGTCAGATTTTGTGGTTCATGGTTTGATTCGTGCACATTTCTAGTAGTGGCTTTTGTTGTTTTCTGAATATGTCTGCTAGCTCCTTGATTTTGAACATAACTAAAGAAGTTGTACATAACTAAAGTAGTTGTGGCTCCTCTAGGTTTTCTTTGTGTGTATGTTGTTTAGGCCACACTCTTCATTGGCTCCTCTGATTCTGCTCTGGATGGTCTTTTGTAATACTCTGTACTTGATGTTGTTTTTAGTTTTATTTTTTCACCTCTTATTTTAGCTAGAATATACAGTAGGACTGCTGTATCCACGGGATCAGTACCCACCTTTTCATTTTTCTGTTGCCTGAAAAATATTAAATAAAACCCCTCAAGAAATATGTGTTTCCAATATGTTATACCAGAATTGGCCACTAGAGAGAACCAGATACTATGCTAGATATAGGTTCTTCTTCGTGGCCTCTGTGAATGCACACAATTGGGTTGCTCTGCGCCTGCGCTAAACGTCTCGGACATTTCTAGAGCTTAAAGACATGATTAGTGGAAGGTTCCCCCGAGGAGTGCCTGCTCCGCCCATCCTAGGTCCCCCTCAGTTCCTGTTTTCCACCGTGTTGAACAGACCTGTTCGGAGAAATAGAGCACTACTGTATATTGAATTGTATCTTCCTTTTCAATCACCATTATTTCTACAGTTGTTTTCTTTATTCGACATTTCCCCCTGTGAGTTTTTTTCCAGTTTTTCTCTACCTGCATTTTGCCTTTCTCCCCCGTTCCTTCCCATGACCGTTTCCCCCTACTATCCTTCCTGCTATTTATGGGCCCCCCTGGGCCTTCCAAGTGGTCCGTTTGATGTGCAAACAAGATCCTGCTAACTGACAGATACGACTGCTGCCTCTTTTGCCTTGGGGAACAACATCCTACCCACTCCTGTTCTGCGTGTAAGAGGCTAACTAAACCAGCCCTTAAACTTTGTCTCCAAATATTGAGGTCTTACCTCTGGGAGAAATCTCTCAACCCATCTGTGGCCTCCATGGACTCTGCTCGATCTCCAGACCCTCAAATAGAGTGGCAAAATCCATCCATACCTGCTTCCAGCTCCATGACCCCTTCTCCCCATCCTAAGGAGAAGTCGAAGTCCACATCGAAGACGGCAACTCGATCTCTAGATTCTTCAAAAAAGAAGAAAAACGACATCAAATAAATAAATAAATAAATAAATAAATAAATAAGACCTCAAAATCTGCTTAGCTTGATCCACCACAACCGACTCTTCCATCTCCCATTCTGAAAGAATCGTCTAGAGAGGCTCCAGGCTCTACATCTGACAGAGATGACCCATCTCTACCTCTGGCCCAAGCTCCAGTCTCTACTGGTAGCCTGTCACCTAGTGTTGGCCTTTCTCCAGCTGATGTGCATTTCAGCCAGGCCTCGCTCTGTTCAAGCCCTGCATCATCAAGGCAGCCAATTCCAATTCAGCTTTCGTGTTCCGACTCACTTCATCACTCTCCGAGAAAACATTGAGAGAAACGAAAGCATCTATCACCTCCTCAGTATGACCCTCCACATTGTATTACCCACAGTCGTCTCGATACCAATTTTGAGATGACACGAACGAGAGATAATACCAATACAACCCTTATGTCACAGAGGATCCTCAAGACTACCTATATTACGAGGAACTCAAACGGGTTTGATATACTTTACCGCACCCTCCTCAATATTCAGCGTCACTCTCTCCATCTCCTTGACATCAACACCAATCTCAGCATTCCATACCTACTCATTCAGCTCTCCCATCTAAACCAACCTTAAAATGTCCCCCACCGATTTTACAACACTCCCAATATAAACGTTCCAAGCATTCCTCCAAATACCTTCCCCAAACATCATTGCAAGTCACTGCTACTTATAAAGGTATTCCTCCACCACTTACCGATACAGAGAGACATTCCACACATCTGGCTCCTACTGCACAGCCTCCTTCCACGCAAGCATCGATGTCGAGACCTATCTCCTTCCTCATCATCTTCATTACTTGAAGACTTGGCTTCTGATACATCACAAGAGTCACCATCAAATTTACCAACACTGACCTCCGATGTCACTGAGAATCATCCACCGTCTCCATCAGAGGACTTCACCTACTCTCAGCTTGTCATGAGAATGGCCAAATCCTTACAACTTGAATCAAGGAACCACCACCACCTAAACAGGAATTGGTCTTTGACAACATTAATCAAGATAAAATGCCTCCTCAGTGTGACATTCATTCCGGCCATGCTTGATCTAATCAAAGAATCCTGGGACAAACCTCCTTCATCCTCACAGATTTCCAGATGTACTGAAAACCATTACAAGACACATGGTCCCAATACCAATTTTCTCACTAAACTTCCCACACCAAAATCAATAATAGTAGAGTCCAACCAGTCAAGAGCCTGGAACAAATCCTCTATTGCTCCTACAAACAGAGAAGGGAGAAAATTAGATACAGTTGGCAGAAGACTTTATTCCCTTACTTTGGTCATGATGTGAGTGGCAAACTACCAAGCCGCAATGGGAGTGTACCATAGACAACTATGGAACAAAATTCTACCCCTACGTGAAGCAGCTCCTGAATCAGTTAAATAAGAAGCCATCAATATCCATACTGAAGCTTCCACACTCACTAAGCAACAAAGGATTGCATCTCACGATACTGCAGATGCTGCATCTAAGGCTATGGCCACCTCTGTTGCCCTACGGCGTCGTGCATGGCTTTGATCTTCTGGACTGTCAGACGATACCAGATCTGCCATTTGATGGAGCCAGACTATTCAGTCAAAAAAAAGATGAAGTAATGGAAAATCTTCACAAAATCCGTAAAAACTGCCTGGTCCTATTCAACGTAACAGACCTACAAATATCAACAGCTACAATACTGGCGACAACCATTCTATCAGCAATCATACCAATAATTTCAGCCATACTGACAATACAAACCCCAATCACCTGAAAGACCATTTCAGGGACCTTCAACCTTGGCACCGTCATCCTTTCAGAACCAACAACAACAGCGCTGCCAACTCTTTTGCAACTCTCAAAAGAAGGGAAAGCAATACCCATAAACTCCCTTCACCTTTTTTCCATTATCCACCTTGGTTCCAAACGAGACTAGGTCCATTCGTTCATGCATGGCAGTCTATAACTAATGATCAATGGGTCCTCTCTATCATCAAACAGGTTACTTTATTGAATTTTAAAACTTCTCCGCCAATTGGAAAAATCAAAATTACCCCATATTCTACAATTCTTCAAGAAGAAGTTTCTCTTCTTCTTCAAAAACAAGCTATAACCACAATCCTTTCATCTGACTTGCATGATAGCTTCTACTCCAGATATTTTACAGTACCCAAAAAGGAAAGAGGGCTCTATCCCTTCCTCAGTCTCAGAAATCTCAATAAATTCATTCGACTGCGATGCTTCATAATGTTGACACTAGACACTATCATTCCTCTCCTTTCACAGGGAGATTGGTTTGTTGTCATCGATCTCCAAGACACCTACTTTCACATCTCTATTCATCCAGATAACCACAAATTTCTTCGGTTCCAGTTCAACGACACCACATACCAGTTTTGCTCTCTCCCATTTGGGCTTTCCACAGCACAGAGAATCTTTACAAAATGCATGGTACCAGTCACCGCTTACCTTTGACTTCAAGGTATCAACGTATTCCCTTGTATAGACGACTGGTTGATAGTCTCAACCTCGTATTACGATGCCGTCAGAGCTACCCAACTCGCTCTTGACACACTTCGAGATCTCGGCCTCAAGGTAAATATCACCAAATCACATCTTGAACCTTCTCAAGATGCCTCCTACATTGGAGCCCACTTCGAATCACTGCAGGCCAGAACCTTTCTTCCACAGGAAAGAATCCTCAAACTAAAAAAGACTATTCAACCCTTTCGACCTCTAGCCTCCATATCAGCCCATCATGTCCAACATCTTCTCGGACTCATGGCCTCGAAAATTCCAGTTATACAATACGCTTGACTCAAAATGAGATCACTTCAATTGTGGTACCTGTCCCTATTCGATCCTATGATCCATTTATGCGTCTGACGGTAACACCCAAACTTGCATGTCAACTTACTTGGTGAATGTTTCTCCCGAATCTACTCATCAGACAACCCTTTTTGCCTCTTCAGCCGATGATACAAGTTACCACCGATGCCAGCCCTTCAAGTTGGAGAGCACATTGTCTGCATCACGAGATCCATGGCCTATGGAGAAATCAAGAAAAAACATTACACATCAATCCTCGAACTTTTAGCAGTTATCAAGGC